GACCTAACATAAGGACGACACAGTGTAGTCAATTTGTCATTAAACGGTAATACCGAAAATATGCTATACGTTTTTTTGACACTCAAACACAGAAGACACCAACGTTGAAGTTATTTGTTAACATTTTTCACTGATACATTTCCGTATATTTGGACTGTAACGGTACAGTAACTTTGCAATATATATAATCCTGCACAGAAACTGGTCACGTAGTAGTGCTGTTCAACGACGACATGATTGGCGTTTGTGTACACAGCATGACAAAAGGTGATTACGTGTTGTCATCCAATTATAGGCTAATGTCGATTGGATGTCTTGTGATATATATTAACCCTTATAATAATAATTTATTTTATTAAAGAGTCACATATCCATTCACAATTTAAAGTTTCTAGTTGAAACAAAATTGATAGAATTAATTATCCGGCCAAGTTGACCTATGAGACACTATTTCAACGTTAAATACAGATTACTGTAAAAGCATAATATTTCGTTGGGGATTTAATTTCGTTTATTTCGTGGTTTAAAGAAAACCATGAAATATAATCCCAACGAAATTTTAATCGCACGAAATAGAAATTAGCGAAAATATGAAATAAACTATTACTTTAATTACAAACCATGCTGTATTTACATTTAGACACAGGTCATGATAAACGGTGTACTTATCGTCACAGACACAGAGTTAAACACTTATAACTATAGCGCGTCAATCAAGCGTTTGTTACATCGCTCTTTGTATGTAAATTATAGAGCATGACGGATTTGACCGATACCCATAGTGTGAGTTTATCTCGCCGGGTCTTACCTGAACCTCGCAAGCAGTACGGTGACCATCGGGCGATGGTCGATCTATTGTTTTCCACTGACTGGGGTGAAGCGAGGTGTGAAAATTTCACCTGGAGTGGATGGGTGATCACCTCGGGCGATGTACGGTAAGTCTTATTGTCCAGGTGTCAAACATAAAATAACTGGGTTTGAAAATATTGATTTCACGAAATATTTTCCCCACGAACTTGTCCCAAATCCAAAACAACGAAATTTAACCACCAACGTAAATATATGCTTTTACAGTATACTATGATTTAAAAATTAAAGTACAAATCAACTTCTCCACGGTCGGTTGCTGGTTACTTAATCAGATAATGAAATAACAAGATTTTTCCTTTGTTAAAGAAATAATTAACTGGGCCAACCTACCTGCAAACATATAAACATGCACACGTATGTACAATCAATCATATCAACATGTTTTTTTCATAACAACCACTTACCTATACATTCAACAACATTTTGCACATACTTGTACAATTATACCCTCTTGTCAAATACAGCTTTTTATACATTACATACCAAGTCAACCCACTTTTTCACTAACATTTTATGCGAGGACCAGGCTGCCTGCGCTAAGTAAAACGAATTCAGTACAAATGTCACTTTAGTATTTGAACATTGTGTTAGCAGGAAAAAAGTATTTCAGTATTAGCAATAGCAAAACAGTCCTATAAATAAATATTTGCTTTTGTCTATTATATTTTAACATGAACACCGATAATTCTCATAATACATTGTCACAGTTCCTTAGTTTAATGATTTTTCCTTGACGCTTACACATAGTGATTACATTTAATTATCCTTCAATGCTTAGTTAGAAAGTTCATACAGACCAACAGCTATATTTATACACCTACAATTTCAACATACATGTCCAATACAATGTACATCCACATGTAAGGTTTCTGTGCACGATTATACATTACAAACAAAGTAAACCTACTTTCTCATAATAAAATTGTATGCATGGGATGCTTGCACCAATTAAAAAAGAATTCAGAACGGAATTCAGAACGAATGTCACTTTCAAGTTTAAATATATTGTACAACAGGAAACAGAAAAAGAAATACCAAATGTCACTGCGACTACATGCACCAGAATGTGACGAGAATTACGGCCCGTGATATTCTTGTCAATGAAACAACAGCGGAGCATCGACAAGAACATCAACCAATCACCGCGAGGGCCCACCTCTCTACCGCGCGTGATTGACAGGTATATCAACCAATGAAACGGTGCCATTTTCGTGTAAGATCAGTGCACAGAACTTATCTTAACACATATTGTATATCAATTACATCATTCACACGGCAATATATTTTATCTTTATATGTATTTGATAATGATTACTAATACTACTGGAACTATGAGTGAAATGTACTGATACCTAATATATTACGTTAATACAGAGAAGGTATCTTGTTATGATAGAAAGGAAACCAAAACAAAATACCTTTAGTTTATATATTATTCTGATTGTCATGGTTGACCTGAAGCGGAAACGTATATACTACTTACGGCTTTATATGTCTCTGTCTGAAGACAGGTAATACAATATTCAATATTAATTCTGATAATTCATATATTTAACAACCGGATCACGCTTTACCTTTTAGATAAGAAGTTTCATAGGTTCTAAATTTTAGTAATCACAGGTTCGTTAGACGAGAGCACCTGTTTAGACTATACACAAAGTCGTATATATTGTAATATAACGTCTCTGGTTAAGAATAACGCTCTATTTTTTTTCTCATTTTATTTTATACAGTTTTGATAACTGACATACGGATGCACATTATCTTTCTGAAATGGTTAAGTTCGCTTTAAATGAATAAAGAAACAAGATATTTCGAAATTTCGTTCACTTTAAACACATAAACGTAACTTAAATGGTATTTTTTCTAATGAAAGCCTTTGTGGAGATCATTGTCATTATCACTCGAAGTTTCAACAACCCGGGAGTTTACATTGCTGTTTTAGGAAGTTAACAAGAGTACCTCGGATACCTAACTCATTAGTGTATTCATGCAAAAAATACATTGTTGAAATGTAAACATACATTGTTGAAATTCATACATTCCGATGACGTCACGTTGTTGACTGACAGGACGGCTGGATTGTGTGTTCATTTATATACGTTTACTTTGATGACATAAATGGACGCGTTTTATGTTAAGAAAAAGGCTATATAAGGATTAACTTTCTATTCAGTTTAGGTTATCGGGTGATAACTACAATGGAACCCGGGTAAATTATTTCTTCTTTATCGGCTTCGCCGATTATTTATCACCCGATAACCTAAACTAAATAGAAAGTTAAACCTTAAATATTATAACATGAAACATGTACTCAGAAGGGATATTCTTACGACAGTACAGGGAAGATAAAGTTCCATTTAATTACAATTATATAAGTTATGATTAAAAAAACCAAATATGAATAAAATACATTTTTGTTAAATACAATAGAAATTAAAAGCTGAGAGGACAGGTGATCGGGAATCTCCTTACTAAGAGGATTATATAAACCACAAAACTATTAACAACATTAAAAACGATTGAAAGGTATATAAAGCAAAATAGGAACGTAAACTGTCTTAACATATATATATATATACAGTGGTTCGTTTATGAACATTTACACAATCGGTTCATCATTTGCACGAGTTTATCAATAAATACTGGACAACTAGTACCTCGGACCGAACGGAGCCGGGGGATATAGTTTACGTAATATAAGTTGTATACGACATCGGGACGTACTTATCGTTCGTCATTAAATATCGTTAATATTGAGAGTTCATATTGTGTCTTTGATTATTATATGAGTGATCAGAGACGTATATACTGGCTTCATGTGTCCCTGGAGTGATGTATCAAAGCACCAGTTCAGCAATACGGTAAAAGTTATGCATTATTCTCAAATGGTCGTTCATTTCGATCCTAACCCTGGCCGTAGTACAAAATAAGCATTATTTCCTTGGTCTTTATTTATTTCATTCGAAGTAAATATAAGTGTACTATCGACCTGTGTTATTATATCGTTTTGATTACGGAATTAGAGCGACCGTCTTTGCATAGCTATACCGACAACACGGCCAGCAAGGCAGGGACTATAGACTGCCTCACCTGTACGGGCTTCGCCGGAGCGCGGCTACATCAAAGGGAATACCGCTGTGCGAGTGAGCGGGACAACGACTTAATTTTCGGGGGCCAACGACCAGTTTTCGGGAACAAAGGCACAATCTTATTGAATTGTTATGTTCCTGAAAATTGGTTGTTGTCCCTGAAAATTGGTTGTTGTTCCTGAAAACTGGTCCATGTCCCGATAACTTGGATATGGTTTTTAAATTTAAATGGTGCTCCGCTAATTTGGAGAGTGTTTCCGTAATTTGGGCCATGCAAATATGATTTAGATTGTACATCATTAAGTTAGCCATGCATAGATTATTTAGCTGGTACGTCATTAAGTTGGGTCATGAATTTATTATTTAGATTGTGTTTTGTAAAATTCAATGCTAATTGAAGTTTACTGGTATAATAAGGTAGATTAAGTCGTAGAATTGATTTTTTCGTCCTTAAGTGTTTCTCAGTGATGCTTTTATATCATTTCTGTACCATCCATCCTGTTCCGTTTTTATGGTACCAAATGAAATGAAAGCGACGATTTATCATGTCTGTGTGTACCATACCATGGTATAGAATGAAATGAAAACCATGATCTTTTATATCGTTCTGTCGGCTGTTGTCGACTGTTAGTACAGATATGTGTGAACGTATATGAATTGTTTTTTTAAATTTCGTTTCTAACTTTCTGATTTTTTCATTTTGTCTGACACTACTTATTTGGTTTTCTAGATGCAAATTGAACATTTAGAATATTTTTATAGACATGCAAAATAAACTTGTTAGTGTGTCATTCACATAATATTGAACACGTGTCATCTGACGTCGCAGATAGCACATGTGCATAATTAGAAATATGTGTTCGCATCATAACTTTGATCTGTTTCAATCGTCTCATGAGGACATGTATGTTATTATTTATACATGTATAAACAAAAAGAAATTATAGATTCAAATATTTATATCTTAATCATTTTAAGAAAGGTTCCCAGAGAGAAAGAATATGTAATGTATTAGTATTTTATGTGAATTTATTTCAGTCAAGCAGTCAGAAAATTTGCCAGTTCGGGGAAATGGTCCAGATACCATTCTATGTCTCGACACGTCAGCTAGTATGTACGGAGACAATTTCAGCGAAATGATCATTGCTGCAAATCATATTATTGATGGTAAATCTACTTCTTAATTCTGTCTAATCAAATCTTATCAGCTTTCTATTCCAACATATCATTGTAACCACGCCAATAACTGATTGTTGCAGTTTGTTGCAATTTCCCTTAATTTCTTGGACTTGGATCCTTATACCAAGTCATCCGTCCTTATTTAAAACAAAGGTTACTTTAAAAAAATGGATTTTAAGAACGGTAAGTAAACAGCGGTACACGTCTTATACTTGTTACTCGATAGTGACAAGATGAAAAACTCTCAACTAACAAATATTTCGTGTTTGATTGCTAATCCAAAAACTGAAAACAGGACTGTTTCGAAAAAAAAAACTTCTGCAAAATTGAAATATGTAGGTGTTGAGGAACTTGCCAAAAATGAAGCTGTGCAGGGAAATGTAGCAGTGGCCACATTTGGAGCCCAACCTATTGTCGCCAACCACCTCACGAATGATTACTCAAAAGTCAGGAATGTACTTGGTAAACACTTTTTTTTACATCATGGCAATCTGCAATAACATCGACATAAAATTTCTAACTATATAACTGTAAAAATAAAAATCTACATAACGTATTTTTGTTCAAATCTAGATGTTTGTGTATGTTGTCGTTTTTGTCAGTTTCTATTTTTAATATGTTGATAGAAATAAGCTTCAAAGGTTGTGTAATTTCCTTTTTAGATTTTCTTGTTGCTGAAGGCCCAAGTACACTCTATCGTGGCCTATTGATGTCTATAGTGGCTTGCATTGGTAACTGTACGTATACATTTTGTTACACATCCTAACCTGCATGACTAATAGAGGATAAACCAACAAAAGGTATTTTAGTTTTTTAATGAGATTTTCTCCTAAAAAAGGAGAAACATTTTATTATAATTATCATAATTTGATATACAAATGCGGCATCTTATACTTATGACAGTACAGAGTAAGTTGACATTTACATTTAAGAAACTATTGATAATGTGCATAATAACAGTACGAAATGATACTCGTTTATTATGTACAGTTTTTAATTATTCATGTTTCTAGACGCAGAGGTTTCTGTCAACGATGTTCCATTGATGGCTCGCGTCATAGTGTTGACCGATGGAAAGTTTTCTGCTCAGGATGCAAAGGACGAGCATTATAGGTTTTATCCCCAGAATGATATCATGGTATACTATTTCTATTCACTTAAAGTCGTATGGTCATATTTATTACAGAGCGGTACCTTATGAAAAAATGGTATGATTTACAACTTTTTGTTTTCAGGTCCCATCAGCAGCAAACCTGATGAAATTGAAAGGGATTGTTTGTGACTGTGTTCAAATAGGAGCTTCATCAGAATCGGTATGTCGTGTCAGTCACTGTTGAGAGAGAGAGAGAGAGAGAGAGAGAGAGAGAGAGAGAGA